TTTTTGATAAAAACAGGTCTGGCCGTTTTGGAGATACGGAGCAAAGATTGCAGAAAATAGAAATCGAGTTTGATAGAACGAAGCATCTGAGTTGAATGATTCAAAAAACATTCATTTTGTAATTATTGGTAAAAGTGGTGATTAGAATGTTTTTTGAATCATAGAAATCGGTTCAACCGTGTTACCATATGTATGTATAGTCGACGAAAGTTTGTATCCAAACACACACACACACACATACATCAATTTTTTCTAAGGTATGCTAAAATGTCCACAAATCCCTGAAATGTTAAGATATATAAAAAATTTCATTCCCTATTATTTTGCGATACCTATAACTGACCCTAAGGGCTGTATTTTATAATATTGCTTTTATACTGTATGAACTTCTGTATTATATATTATTGCTAGTTCAATTTTGGATTAATTTATATTCGCACTGTAGTCATTAAAGAGAACATTATATGTTGTAATTAACTCCCGTACGTAGCGTAATGAATATGTTTATATCTCTTTCATGCCTTAGATAAAAATCATGTATGTGCGGATACAATTTTTCGCCGTCGATTTCGAGAACATGGATTAACCGATTTGAATGATTCAAAAAACATTCGATTCCTTTTGATAAGGAGACGTGCTGATTAGTTTTTTGCCAAGACAGGGTCCAGCCATTTGGAAGATACGAGACAAGAAGTGCCGAAATTGTAATTCTGATTATTTAATGGTAATTTTAAAAATTTAAATTTTCGATACAGGAAGTTTCAACAATTTGCCTTAAGGCACGATGCCATGCTCCGCTAGTTATGTATTTAGTCAAATGATTTCAAATAAAATTATTCCCAATAAAGATGAAATAAAGAGTATATTTCTTACTAGTAGACACGTCGATCTGTTATTGGTATCGACACGGTCCGGGGATGGCCCCCTCGTGTTATTCATATTATAACATGTTCCGCATATTATGCTTCGAAGATTCATTCATTGGAAAATAAAACGGTGCGCCACGGCGCGCAAAAATCTTATGTAAAGCCACAGTATCAAACAACGCATGTTTAGCCCGTTAATGAAATGCAATGTTTGTATATATAATTGCAATATATATGAAAGCTATCGTGTGTATTTATTCCGAGCATGCGGTGGATGCTCGGATGATGAGAGAATTATAGATAACTTTCTGTTTTCAAAGTTATTTGAGTGTGAAAATGATTCTTTTCATTCGGTTTACGCCGACATTTCACTATTACGATCAGAGAAGCAGAGCGCATTGTGAATCTTCTCTATCGCAAAACGATTTACTGATGCATCAATGATTACTTCACTTGTTCCGGTGAAAATTTGTAATGAGTGACATATTGGGGTTATAGTAAAACTAAATTAATTAAATTAGAACTTTTAACTTGTTTATTGCTAATTACAAAATAACTCGGAGATTGCGTTCTAAGATACCAACTAACAATAAGATTTTCTCGCTATGATTATTTTCCATTTTTGTGTAATTTGGTTAAGCTCAATATAAGTCAATGCTTCATAAAATTAACCCTTTCGCTTCGGATGTCGTTTCTGGACGATATGTGTTTGCATTTGCAATTTTTTTGTTCATTAGAAGCTTAATTTTTAATGTTTAACACATTTTTACCGATAATCACAGAAAAATATATCGTTGTCCCTGTGGGTTTAGTAATGCAACTGAACTGCACGCTGTTCCCGTATAGCAGCGACATTCCTGCGCAAAGCACTGCCTTAACGAAAGGGTTAAGTGCTGGACATCCAACTTTTTTTTTTAACAAAATCAAAAATTTATAGTTTTTAATAATGTGATGTGATAAAGTCGAAATATTATTTAATTAATTTTACTTGCGTTACTTAATTTACTTAGCTAACTTATTTAATCTATGACATCATTCGTCCTGGATCCCAGAATCGTATACTAAATTGTCAAAAAAGTGCGTGTGAAGCCATAGTAGTGTGCTATTGTTATGTTATTCTTATTACTCAATAAATATACACAATTTATTACAAATAACAAAAACTCGACAGTGTTTATATGTATCCACCACATATTATTATCTGATAAATTTAAGTTACCCATATTTTAGCAATTATGATTACATGAACTGACATACCGACGGTAGTCAACCAAATTAAAAAGCTAACTAGAAACTTTTACCTTAAATGTAAGGATCACTCGAATAAAAACATCCAGGCCCTTGGCTAATATACACGCGAAATGATTTAGTGTGGCAAAACGTCATGTATCAGTTATACTGATACTGATACATTCATAGATTTAATTAGAATACTTTTTATTTAGCTAAATACTGGTATGTAATTTTTTTTAAGAATAGTGAAAACTATTCTTTTTTGTTGCATAAATATAATACACTGTTTTCTATTTTTATATTACATATAAATGTACTGATGTAAAATATCTAACGAAGAAGTATAATATCCAAGGGTAGACTTATGTACCAATCCATTATTATGTAGTATACATTTTATATATTGAAATGTATCTTTTTAAATTGAACTGGATAATTATGTTCAAAAATATTGATAGCAGGTTCTAATATAAATGATTTAGAAAATATAACAAATGTTTTCTGAACGTATTGAATTGAACAATTTCAGATTCCAATTCTTAGGTGATTGCAATAGAGCACAGTGAATTGACAAAGTTGAATACAAAATAAATTCAATGGTAAAAACGTAAGATTTAAACCCATTGTTTCATTTATATTGCTTTCATCAAAAAATGTTTACTTTATTACATATGATAGAGCATCACATTTTTATGGACACAATTACCGCCATGTTACGCTTTACGCTTCGTAATTTTCAAAGATTCTACAAGGCTTAAAGTATAAGAAGTATCAATGTATTTTATGATACATTGAACAGACGTGTCTATTCGAAGTGCAATGAAAATACTATATACATTTCTATTACAAAAACATTTCATTTTTAATAATTGTATCTGTTCTTACATATGAGAACTATAAGTAAATATAGTTTTATCGTAGAGCATAATCATTAACAAATAATCGGTTAAAAGCTATGTTCAATCGATGCCAAAAATTGTTATTTATAGACCTTGAATTTTTTTATCGAATCACAGCGCCAACATTATTAACCCCTTAACCTATAATAATGGGCAAAGCCCGCGTACGATAATCGGGTCAGAAGCAAATATTACGCATTACGCATGTATTACAAAATAATTGTATATATAAAACTATAAAACACAAAATTATTTTTATTTTGGTGATAAACTGTACACTGTGTGAGAAAATAGTCACGAACGCCAACTTATACAACTTTTGACCAACACTTTCGAATCTAAATCGTAGGTTAAAGGGGTTAACTTCCCGTAGGGCAAGCTTCTGAACATTTTGGCATACCTTAGAAAAAATTGATGTACGTGTATGTATATATGTGCGGATATATTTTTACAGCAACTGATTGAAATGATTCAATGATTCGATTCGCATAGATAAGGAAATGTGCTGATAAGTTTTTAGAAAATGTCTAATATATATATATATATATATATTCTATATTATATATTTTATATAATATATACATACATACATACATACAAGAAAAATTTTAAAAATTTAAAATCTTTGTACAAAATAAAAAAAATAAACGTAATTAGAACCCCTCAATTGGAAATCGTATTATTTTTAAGTGAAAGCGAAAATTTAATTTTCGAAATGAAATTAACAGTTCAACATTTTATCTAAAACTCCACAATCAATAACTGTTACTTTATACTTATACTTTAACATATTTACAATCAATTATAATTAATTACTGAAATGCAATAATTGACATTCGAAAAGTTTGTCTTTTGTTCTGGTTGCTGTACATTGGTAGCAACTTAGGCATATTAAAAAGTAATAAAAAAAAATTAAACTTTTCACGAATGACAGGGGTCAACGCAAATTCATTGTCGGCAGTTCTAATGGCAAGAGCAAATTAACAGAATTAAAAATGAAAATGTTCGAAATACTTCTTTCTACTGTTACTTATGCTTTTTGTTTAAAACTTAATGCGGTCTAGATGAGCTAACAGAGTAATGTTATAATCCGGAATGTGCATATCTTACCAAGTCAGATTAAATAGCTAACATAATAAAAAATATTTAACAATTAATATTAGTAGTGTGAATTTGCCCCATTACTTGCTCTGTATTAATGAAGGTGATCAAATTCAGTTGTCTTCGAGTAGAAGTATGAAAATTTTAAAATATAAACTTCGAGCGATATTTTATTATTCTTGAAACACACAACGAAACTGTCATGAATGAACAAACTAATGTGCAATCAAATATAAATATAGAAATAGTTAAAAGTTTATGCCAATGCATACATCACGACAGCAAAAATGAAATATTGTCACGTAGATTTACTTATTAGACGAATAACGGCATCTTTTGAAGTTTCTCTGCTCGTTTTGGCATCAAGATGACGCGTGACTGAACTTCGCATACCAATTGAGCGGATGCAGCTAGAACAGCTCAATATAATAGTTCACAATGCAGAATTATTTTATCATACTTAAGTGACGATATAATAAATGGCCAAATGAAATGTGATGAAATATTTAGACTTTCTGTCTTCATTTGCATAAATTCTTGAACATACCAAAACATTGAATATATTTTTAATTCTGATAAAACTATAAATAACTGACCTACCTATAAATATAAACGAATTTGACACAAAATGAATCAAAATGACATAAATAACAAATTCAGTTTTGTGAATCCCTTCGAACATACAAATTCATTATTATAGCGAATAATTTTCATTATGATCTGTGAATGTCCCCACAAACCTTTACATAAGAATAACCACCATGATCGCATTTCGTATTTATTTGCTCGCTTAGATTTACAGTATAACAGCGCAATGAATACTATGAACCGAAAAACTTTGCAAAAAAATAATATTTCCATTTCAATTAAATTTTATATAATTTTTTTTTATCTTTTTCAGATGGCGTCCATAGCGATGACCGTATGGTAACGAATAAAATAGTTGGCAGTCACAATGGAGTGGTCGGAAGGCGATTTGGTGTGGTTTGACCCAGGGCTTGGACACCCTTTGCCCGGGGAAATATTAGAAGCCCACCGCGCTGCTCAAGTCCTTATAGTGCAAGCTCTCATCAATGGCAAGGTAATATGTCTTTCTTTTCAATTAACAAAATTATTTCGAATGGACGTTTTAAAGTCAATAGAAAATTACATTCATTTATTACGTATTATCAATATAATTTATGAACTAATTATATAACATTAATATTTCTATGACAGATTAATTTAGTTTTGTTCTTCGTGTGTATCAGCGCGTGTCAAAACTACTGGCATAAACAATTGTAACAAATTGTATTTAAGAATTAAGAACAAATAAACATTTTATTTGATCAATTATATACCAATTGATTATTATCGCATTTGTCTTTCTCGAATGCAGATGATCTCTTTACTTTGATAACTCGTTCTGATTTGTATTATGTTACGATGGAAATAAGCTTTATGATAGCACGATAACTATATTTTACTCGTATTTGCTTCCGCAATAATAAATACTCTATATGCAGAAAATTACTATAACTGTTTAATGTAATAACATGAATTCGTGTTATTTTTAAACTGTTGTAATAAAAAAATGTACAAGATATTAAATAAATGAAAATAATTAATACTTAAATTTAATTAACTCTTATTATGCTTATTTAAATAACTACTAATATGCTTATTTCTGATTAGATTACAAACATATACGATCAGGTCCAAATTTGATTTTGAAAATCAAGCAAATAAATTCGTTTGAGCAAAAACTGATGTTCTTTTAGCATAATGTGTAAATGGAACTTGCATTTTACTTACATAGGCGCAGACTTTTACATTATCAGCGGGCGAAGGTGATCTGCGCCCGCGTCAAGACCTCGGCCAACAAGGCGTGGAGGATATGACTCAATTGCAAGATCTTCATGAAGCATCGTTATTATGGAATTTAAGGTTACGTTATGACAGAAATCTAATTTACACTTATGCTGGGGGTGTTCTGATAGCCGTAAACCCTTATAAAATGCTGCCTTCTGCTTATGGACTGGAAACCGCAAGGCAATACGCTAGTCGTCCGCTGGGAGCGCTTCCTCCTCACTTATTCGCAATCAGCGCAGCAGCACATTCGGCCTTACCGTCGCCTCAAGTCGTGGTGGTTTCTGGTGAAAGCGGTTCCGGAAAAACAGAGTCTACCAAACTAGTCGTACAATATTTAGCTGCAGTCGCACCAGCTGGCGGCGCAGGGTTAGTCACTGAACAAATTCTAGAAGCAACACCTTTACTCGAAGCGTTCGGTAATGCAAGGACCACGCACAATGATAATAGTTCCCGCTTTGGAAAATATTTGGAAGTGTTTTTCAAAAATGGTGCTATCATGGGAGCGAAAATTACGCAGTATCTTTTGGAAAAATCGAGAATTGTAACACAAGCATCCAATGAAAGAAATTATCACATTTTCTATGAACTGCTTGGAGGTTTATCGGAACAAGAGCGTAAACAATATGGCTTGTTAGAAGCGGATAAATACTTCTATTTAAATCAAGGAGGCAGTGATTGTGCTGCCGGCCAAACTAGTTCAGATTGGACGGGATTAAGAGGTGCCATGCAAGTTTTAGGTGTATCAGAAGAAGAACAACAAGGAATTGTGCGTGTATTAGCGTCAGTTTTACATTTAGGTAATGTTTATTTTCATAGAAGACAATTGCGCCATGGACAAGAAGGTGTCGAGTTAGGCTCAGATGCTGAGATTAAATGGGCGGCGCATCTATTGCAAATCTCTCCAGATGCCCTGCAGCGGGCGCTAACAACAAGAGTTACAGAAACAAGAACAGAAAGGATGCATACTCCCCTTGGAATAGACCAAGCGCTCGATGCCAGAGATGCATTTGCCAAAGCGCTCTACAGCGGGTTATTCAATTGGTAGGCATTCTTCTACTTATACTCTATATGCTTACATATATTATTAATCCTTCAAAAATATAAAATTAACCGCGGTATACAACATACCCTACTTCCACACAACTACTATTAGTATATTTTAAAATCATATATAGTTATCGCATACCTAACTGGATTTGACATAAAAATATATAAATAATACAAAAAATCTAAATATTTTTATCAATTGCAGGTTGGTTTCTCGTGTCAATTCTATCATTCACCGCGGCGGTATGCACGACGCTCATAGAATTTCTATATTGGATATATTTGGATTTGAAGATATTCAAGAAAATTCATTTGAACAACTATGCATCAACTACGCTAATGAAAGTCTGCAATTATATTTTAACAGGTGAGTGCTAATTTTTGACTCGTGTAATATGATTACCCGTGTTAAAATATTTGCATTTCATTGTGTTTATTTTTTAAGACACGTATTTAAACTGGAACAACAAGAATATGCTAAAGAACGTCTGGAATGGACTTCTCTTACATGGGAAGATAATCTCCCAGTTATACAACTTTTAAGTAAAAAGCCTGTTGGAGTGCTTCATCTTTTGGACGACGAATCAAATTTCCCACGAGCAAGTGATAGAAGCTTTCTGGAAAAGTGTCACTACAATCACGCATTGAATGAACTGTACGCTAGACCAAGAGTCGGGGCACAAGAATTTGGTATTAGTCATTATGCCGGACAGGTAAAATATCTCAATCTGTGATAACTTGTAACTGATTTAAAATCGATGCATTCAATTTTAAATTATAATGACTGTGTAAATGTGAATTATAAGCAATGTTTTTTTTAATTCTGTAGGTGTGGTACAACGCAGAAGGATTTTTGGAGAAGAATCGCGATGCCCTGCGTCCAGAAATTTTGGACTTGTTATCATCAAGCAACCAGACTCTGGTCAGTGACTTGACGCGACGCCTTCGCGCTCAGCGAGACGCTGGCCGGTTATCGGCGCAACAACAACAATCGAGAGGCAGCGACGGCCGATTTGTCACTATGAAACCCAGAACACCTACGGTGGCGGCGAGGTTTTGCGATTCGCTGCACCAGCTGCTTTCATCTATGTCCAAGTAAGTGTCATTTCAAAAATATTTGAAAGTTAATTTTTTGTCGTACAGGCATTGTACTACTTGTACATTGATCTACAATTGACTTCATTAAAATATTAACACAAAATTTATCTTTAATTGCTAATTAAAAGAAACCATGCCAGAAGAGAACGATAAAGATATCAGCCTTTTTCATTTGATACCAAAAAATTCATCTTAAATAAAATTTGTATACCTTTTTAGAAGAGAGTGCAAATATTTTTTCTATTGAATACTAAGAAAACATAGAACAGACCAAACCACTTGGCACAACTCCTAACTGATATATGTAAATCAATTATTTAATTTTTGAGCAACGGATAATTCGTATAAATAAATGATATTAATTAACTGGAAATTTTTCTATTGTGATTCGATTGATTTAGCTTAAAACAATTATTGTAATTACTATCGTATATATAACGTACGATAATTATTCATTTGAATCCTTATAATGCATACGTATTTTGATACAAGATTATATGATAACATAATTTAATTTAATTCGATAAAATGTTTATGGACTATGAAAATTGCAGGTGTGTACGATATTCGAAATCTATATAACACCATTAATGTTATATACCTATAATAATATTAATCTTATGATCTATAATAATAATAAATTTCCTATCCGACGTTTATAATAACGTAATCGCTATTTAATTCGCAAGAACAAATCATAATATTGATATTTATTTGGACGATTATGCATATATACGGACTCGTGTGGACGGGGCCGTGAGTTTGAAGCCCGCTCTGGACAACCTGGCATCGTGTAGTAGCGATGTCCATTTTTACTTGATCAAAAATATGCTTCCAATTTCGTGCCCATTTCGGGTACTACGATGTGAAATGGCAATGGGAAATCTCTCACACTATTTATCTCTGAATCGAGTTGCAGTTTAATTCAGCTCACGGACCTGCCCTAGAGCAGCACTACCCATTATTTTTATTATGTATATGCGATTAAATGTGAACCTTTCATACAAAACAAAATTAAAAACATGATTTGTATCAAATATCAGTTACGTAAACCTAACGTAGTGCGGATTTTCTAACATGCAATAAATTCTTGCTCGTACCCAATCTAATTTGTTAAAACCTTTTATCAATAGCTAAAACCACGAAAGGATTTCTAAAAGCGTATGCCTTCGACCGGTTTAGTACCGGTTCTGCAATGTAAATTGGACAAGGAAAAATTATTAGTTAAGTCCAAAGATATGATTTATATTTGCCTGACAAGGTAGCGCGTAGGTACATGTCAGAGTGCAAAATAATGCATATTAATAAACAGGAATATGCAATAGGCGTTAACATATTTTAAGTTAATTTATTAACTTCCCAGAGGAAAAGTTTATATTTTTGCAAGAAAATCCGCTTTGCTAATTTTATGTATTTTCATCGTTTCAAGTTTGAAACAGAAATTGGATTTTGATGATTGTGTGGCATGTGATCCAAAATTTGACTTTTCGTCAAAGTTTTATTATTGAAACCCAACGCAGATATTTCAGAAATTTGAAAACTGTTTTATGAATCTCAATAAGAACTCTAATTGATTACTTTGCGCGAAAATACACCAAGCCGTTGCTTTAGGATTATCAGAAAAGCAAAAAATTTTGTCGGTTTGAACTTATTAGATTTTGGTAAATATCGGCCGGGCCGTGTCTTCGTAATAAATTGTTGAATTTTTTGGAGGATTGTGATGAAACTTTGTGAATAATGTAGACCAATCAGAAGTGATTTTCTCATAGTTTAAAATTATTAAGACTTTTACTGTTAGTACATACACCGCGTAGGTACATTTCTGGATAGTAATAAAAATGTAATTATTTTTGAGTTTTTCGCTTTAGGATTATCAGAAAAGTGCAAAAAATTTTGTCGGTTTGAACTTATTAGATTTTGGTAAATATCGACCGGGCCGTGTCTTCGTAAGAAGTTGTTGAATTTTTTGGACGATTGTGATGAAACTTGGTAAATAATGTATAGACCAATCAGAAGTGATTTTCTCATAGTTTAAAATTATTAAGACTTTTATTGTTAGCACATACACCGCGTAGGTATATTTCTGGATAGAATAAAAATGTAATTATTTTTGAGTTTTTAACAAATTTAATACATCAACAAAATATCAATTATTAAACAAAAGCAAATATATCAGCTTTATCTATAATTGTATAATCATTGCGTTAACTAAAATAGATGATTATTTTAAAAAATCTGATAATTAAATAAAACACATTTTAAAACACGAACTAGAATGTAATGAAAGTTTTTTTGAAAGCAAAATCTATTTAGGGATTAAGCAGTTGAACATTTTATTTAAATACCTAAATATCAATATTGATTAAGTCAATTATTTATCCTCATCGCGAAATTTATAGAACTTTCCTTAAGACACGCAATGCAAAATTCCATTTACACCTAATTTAAGTAGAGCAGTTAGAGGCTATATGTAACAGGCATTTTGCAATAGGATCATAAAAGATTAAGAATTTTTTGTCTCGATTGCACATGTAAACCGTCCTGCATAATATTGTCATACCTACTGCCCCGCAATTAAGAAAAGAATTATTTAAAAAAGTCAATTTTGGTAAAGAATACACTTGCCTTGGTAGACATTACATTACAACTAGCCCCAAACATTGGGTAAGTTATAACTCCGCACTTTTTCTAAAAAATGATTAATTGCGAAATAGTGAACAACAATTATGGAATTATTTTTACTTGATTAGGTAGAGGATTTGTTACAGCAGCTATACATCTTTATTTCGTAGAAATATAATGAGTGGATCTCAAGATATATTCACTTAAAAAACTAATCATTTATTTCACTTCTGTAAACTAACTATAGGGTGAAAGTCGTAGCATATTTAATTCCTCTAAAATGCCATATTGTTCTCCAATAAAATAATAGCAAGCTTAAAGCGTATGCGTTATTTGATATTTAATGCGTGATAAACTCATTTAAATATGTCAACCGATTCTATAATCCTTTCACTATTTGTACACAGCGCGCACTTATAATCATATTTGACGACGAGATAACAATTATAAGGTTATTCGCAATGAATTGAAATGCGCGTGCAAAAACATTAATTGATGAGCAATATTATTCATAATCCATGGAAAGCTCATAAATAAAATATAAATGCATACAATCCAATCACTTTACCTCAACTAAAAATAAAACAAACATTTGAATAACTTAAAATAAATCATAGAATTTCAAAATAACATTCAGCTGAAGCTCAAGTGATAAAATATATTAACTTAGAAAACTAGATGTATAAAAAAAACACAAACTTACAAAATTCCAATACATGTAAAACAACGACTTAATCAATAATAATTGAGATTTAGCTATTTGCATAAAATCTTTAACTTCTCATAAGGTAAATTATAGTAATCACAAAAAAAATTAAAAATGAAACTTTCTATATATCTCCACGTTTCAAAGTCCTCTGAACAATTTGGAATACCTTAGAAAAAAATAATGTATGTGTGTGCGCGTGTGTATGTATGTGCGAATACAATTTTTCGTCGACTACTTCAAGAACATAGATCAACCGATTTGAATAATTTAAAAACCATTCTATTCGTATTGAAAAGGAGACGGTCTCAGTAATTTAAAACCTTAAAAGAAAAAAAAGCAGATCAAATTTTCAAATTCATATCAAACAAACCTCTTATTCGGAAAGTTAATTATTCGGTATTATACATAAACTTGCAGTATCATTTCTCAAAACATAATTTTCAAATAAGAAACTGTGCAACGGAGTCCTCTACGTTAAATAAGCACAAAACAATTCACGTTTACTATTTTGGTATTTATATGACTATGCAAATAAACCGGTGAATAACAAAAAAAGTGTTATTAACTTCCCGTAGGGCAAGTTATAGTAATCGCAAAAAATCGCACGTTTCAAAACCTTCTGAACATTTTGGCATACCTTAGAAAAAAATGGATGTATGTGTGTGTGTATGTATGTGTGTATGTATGTGTGCGTATGTGCGTGTAAGTGTGTGTGTGCGGATACAAATTTTCGTCGACGATTTCGGGAACACGGATAAAGCGATTTAAATAATTAAAAAAACATTCGATTTGTATTGATAAGGAGTCGTGCTGATTAGTTTTTGGCGAAGGCAGATCAAGCCGTTCCGAAGATATGGGTCAAAAAGTGCCAAAAACGGTAACCCAGTTTTTAGGAGAACGGAGCGTCCGATTTGAATAATTCAAAAAACATTTTACTTGTATTAACAATATGAAGAAATGATCAAATTTTCATGAAGGCAGGTGTAGCGGTTTCGGAGATCTTGTAAAAAATGTAAAAAATAATGCCATTTGGCGGTCATAAATTAGACATATGCACTTCAAATTATCAGATATTTTATAAAGATTTTGAGTATAAATTTTGTTTATATTCCTATGTGCTCCGTACCAATGTTTATCCGTTAGACGGCGACGCGGCGCTTACGCGCTTCGATATTTTGTCTTATGCAGTTAAAGCAGTACGATTGCTTTGAAAAAAAGTTCAGAATTTCCAAAATATGTCAAAATAAAGAAAACATTTTTGTAAAAAAGTAATTTTTTGTCAAATTTATAATTTCTCAAAAATCTAATTTTTTCGAAGTAAATTTTTTTCAACAATGTTAATATTTTTAAAAAAATAATTTTTGGTACGGGAAGTTCCAGCAATTTGCCTTAAGGCACGATGCCATGCGCCCCACTAGTTTCTTGATTATTTTGGTAAATACGTTGACTAACAATGAAGCCGAACCGAACACTCCTCAATGTAAACAGTGTTGCATCATACTGACCTTGAAAATAATATGGATGATTTTTAGTGTGCACTGAAATAGCAATACGTACAAATTCATACTAGAATTTTATAAAATCACTACGAATACTGGCCATTGCACGTATCTTGGCATATCAAATAACCACTTAACAGTGGCGTGCTCATTGAACTGTGTCACAGTTTAGCGTCACCAGAAACACGTGGTTTTAAGGTACAATGCCACTTACAACTCCTTATTCTACGCCAGCATAGCCTTAATATATTTTAAGTATCTTTAAAGTTGAGATTAAATTTCCTTTACAAAAACTGCAATATAAATAGCTAATGGTGAAAGATTTTTAAGCACGACAAGTATACTCGTCAATGCACAAAATTTTGCCACTTCTTCGTTACGATAAATAATTAATTATACTCGTAATAATCGTAAGATAATTGCACTAAATCAGTTCAAGTTATTGCTTGTATTCATACTAAAAGAAATGACATCTCTCATGTTTAAGAATGCCACTGTCCACATTTCAGAAAAATTGCAATTAGTGAATAGATGGAATATAAAACTTGTCATTAAAATTGCGAGTAATGAACAGTACATAATCAAATTCATGTCTAAAATTAATTAAATCTTACCTGGTCAATGCAGTGAACATTTCGAATTTCGAATCAAATAATATCGAGTATACTCTCAGGGCTGCTTTCAAACATGCACAAAACGCATCTAACGCGACGAAATTAACCCATGAAGTCAAAACGAATAAAATTATAAAGTAATTAATACATTTACTTGTAACATTAAGTCCATGGTCCTAATTCAAACAATACCAAATACACTTCATTACACTCATGACAAAGAAATGTCTTCGAATTGCACAACGGAACGTCGACGGCATTCAAAACAAACTGAACACTGCCCGAAATATGATTGAATTGCCCTTGGATGAAGTTAGGATTTTGATAGGAGAGGGGGTAAATAGTAGAAAATCGTCGTACAAATATTTTTTCATTATTATATATACAGCAAATTTAGTTTTCTATATGAAATGTATACGAATTTATAAATTTTATATTAAAAATTACTCTAAATTTCATACAAAATTACACACACACATACATATATATGATCGAATGTTGATTTCAGCCAATTATCGAAATAAAAGAAATTCATATATACATATAAGTCCGTAGGATAACTAAGAAAAACTAATTTTTTGGCAATTTTTTTTTTATTCAATATAGTTTTCGTTTAAGACGATATACCGATTACAGTGAACTTCGAACTTTTCGAAACCATTTTTGTAGTACGATTTGTACTTAGCCACAAAATTAGGCCATCATCTCATCATTAGGCAAATATTTCTTCTGAGTGATCATTATATTGAGATCTGGGAACAGGATATGGTCGCTGGAGAATAGATCTAGAGAATATAGTAAGTGCGGAAGCAATTCGGAGCCTTTTTCATGTTTTTTTGGCTACTGTTTCCACGGATTTGTGAATTGGTGCGTTGTCCTGATGGAGAAAGCACGGTTTACTTTTTCAAATGGGGCGGTTTTTCCGATTTTGATCTTCAAATGTTCCAATAACGTTATACGATAGTCGCTGTTGATGATCTGACCTTTTTCAAGATAGTTGATGAATATCATTTCTTGCGTATCCCAAAAAACTGACGCCATAACCTTGCCAGATGATTGGTTGCATTTTTTCTCGCCATCGTGTGTAGTCCACTCAGCTGACTATCTATTCGACTCCGGAGTGCAGTGTTGAAGCCCGGTCATATCCATGGTGACATATTGATGCAAAAACTCAGTTTTATTTTGATTAAACAGTTCCAAATACTCTTACAAATCATGAACTTGTTAAGCTTTTGGTTAAATGTGAGTTTGCGCGGCACCCATTTAGCACAGAGGTTTTTCTATTCAAATATTCATGAACGATATGTCCATCACGAACTATTGATATCTTTAGGGTGTCAGCTATCTCAGGCAATTTTACTTTTCGGTTTTTCAAAACGTTTCGGTGGACTTTTTTGATATTTTCCGGTGTGACCACCTCAATTGGCCTTCCAGAGCGTTTAGCATCGTCAGCGTCTATATGGACACGATTAAAATCAGCAAACCACTTCTTCACCATCTACCACGATTTAGACATTATTGAAAAATCATGGTATTTAACTCATAGAAATGTAAACAAAATTTGTTCTTATTAATATCTGATAATTTGATGTGCATATGTCTAATAATCATTTCTGATTTTGGATTTTTTTACTTTTTTCATTGTATTTCCGCTAGACCTGCCTACCCAAAAATTTTACCAGTTCTTCATTTCGTCACTACAAGTGACGTCAACAACAAATGTTGTTGAATCGTTTAAATCGGACGCTATGTTCTCTCAAAAAATGATTTACCATTTTTGGGCCTTATTGTCGCGTATCTTCGAAACATGACTGCCTTGGCCAAATATCGGTTGATCCTTGTGTTATCCAAATCATTGACGAAAAATTCTATCCGCACACACATTCAAACACACACAAGGATCCACACATACATCCATTTTTCTAAGGTATGCCTAAATATTCAGAAGAACTTGAAACCAATGACATATAAAATAAAATATTTTCGTTTATTTTGCGATTACTACAACTTACCCTACGGGAAGTTAATAAGACTTGAGATGATTCTGACAATAAGAAAAACTTTAAATATCCACTTCGTTCAATGTACAATTCGCTAATTTGAAATAAATAACATACAAGACCAAAAAAGACCATCTCTTGAATTACTTTATTCATTGAAAAAGTAATCGTCGGCAAAAAACATGAATTTACAGGATCAGTACAATTTGGCAAATCGTTTCGAGGTGGACAACCTTATGAAACGCCGTGATTAATATTTAATTTGACTGGAATAATTACTGATCCACGATCATGTAGATAGGCAGGTCGAGTCCTGTAAAATGAATATAACTTTTGAGTCACATTCCACTTTTTTATGTATTACGAATTAATTGTGTTTTTTCGTGAGATGACGCATAAAACTGAATTCTATCAAGACAACAGATATCAATATTTATGACCTTTGCTAGACTTTTCAAACTTTAATATTAGGTTCGGGAAAACCAAATCCCTTTTTTCGGTAGATAGATTCCTCGTAAAGTATCAATCAAACAATTTCAGATTTATGCTCGTTGGAAAGGTGACATTTTGCAGTAAAAAATGGCGCTGTTTTTTGTAAGGCGCATTCAGTTGCGTTCCGAGTCACAGGGTGTTAAAAATGGAAGTGAACAAAGAGAAAATTCGGCACATTTTACAGTTTTTCTATGACAAAGGCGAAGGCTAAAATTGTGAATCGTGTTTATGGTTCCTATACTGCAACAACCTATTATGTGCAATTTTGGTTTCGTAGATTCCGTTCAGGAATTTTTGATGTTAAAGCACCTCGCATATATAGGGTGGTCGTCGAAAATGTAATAAAATCGGAGAAATGTTTGAAGTTGACCGGCACGTTAGCCAGTCGTGACATCGCTCAGAAGCTAAAAATCGACCGTGAAGTAGTTGTAAACCAACATCTCAAACCAAAAATAATGGATTTCTTTTTTTCCGACCTAATATAACCATTTCTTACACAAACATTATAGGTTTCGTGTATAACACGAAAAATGGTTTGAACAGTTTTTTTTTGGTCTTCATTTGCATATATAGACTTATCATTACTGATTTTTGTTCATCTAATTTTGTTGGATGAGCAAGAACACACGCATCTTATCTTCGATTTATGAGAATTTGTGAGGAAGAGAAATATAATTTTTCATTAGTTCTCGAAGATAAAATATCTTTGTTACTTGATGTAGGCACGTCGTCAGCGTTTAGTTGGAATGTTATATACCCATATGCATATATATTCACACAGGTTTAGCATGTTTTATTTCAAATGTTATTTATCCGCAGAAGCAATCCTTGGTTTGTGCGCTGTATAAAGCCAAATGCAGATAAGCAACCCCTAAGAATGGACATGCCGTGCGTGCTTCGGCAACTACGCTGCTTAGGTCTGCTGGACACCGTGCGCATTCGCCGGCAAGGATACCCGGCTCGTTTGCGATTCCAGGAGTTCGTCGAACGCTATCGCGGTTGCTTGACGGCAGGAGCCGGTTTAAATCAATTAGAAACTCCGCCGCCCGCAGCTCCTAGAGGTACTCCGCTTCGGGAGGTGTGTAGGACATTATTGGACAGTCTCCCACCGACAGGAGCAGGTGAGACAGGACAAAATAATAGAACAACATATTTGTGCATCTACGAAAATTGTTTAGTAGTTCTCCTTCACATAACAAAGATATACTTTCCTAAGTGTGAAAATACAGTTTAGCAACATTTTCGTTTTAAATTTTACATTAAAAAAATGGACTGTTTGACTTAATCTCAGAACATAATTAATCAACGCGACTCATTATTGAGTTTTAGAAAAAGTTTAAAGAAAAAACTTGCCTTCGTAAACACACTTTATTTTATTACTCCATCGATTACTTTTGCGAAAACAAAAATGTTTTTCTAGATATGTTAGGAAATGAAATCGGATTAATTGACTGCTTTGTCATAACATGAGATATATATTTATCTTTCAAAATATATCTTAAGAAAAACAAGTTTTAAACCTCTAAGCCGAGTGTGTTATTTCATAAAAACACGAAATTATGAAACAACTTTTATCGCAAATTTGTTTTTTTTGTGCGAATCTAAATTATAATTATTTCGTTCTCATACAGAAAGTTTAAAAAGAAATTAGTCGATGCAATGTAATTAGAACGATGAAATACGTAAAAATGTTTGATCTATTTTTTTAGTAGATTATGAATTTGAGACTGGGTCAGTGGGTACAGGTATTAGTGCAACTAATAATGAAATGTTTTAATTCAGGTGTAGTTTATATACAAAAGTTAATTGGATAATTATTTCCTAATACAAATTCACAATGTGATATACAGTAAAACATCGATTATCCGGACCTCGGTTATACGGATTCGCGATTATCCGCACTACCAACCGCGACCAATTTATATGTATGTACATACCTACAATTCGAATTTTAGCATGATTAATGCTGCAATTTAGTACATGTATATGAAGTAATCGAAGAAAATATGTATGTACATGCATAAGGAAGTGTTAATTTCTTAATAAACATTGATTTTCGTTGAAATCTATGTATGTAATTGTTATTTTTAATAAATACTCAACATTATTCTTCATACATTTGATTATCCGAATTTTAGATTATCCGAATGTCCATCGACAACAATTAGTCTGGTTAATCGAGGTTCTACTGTAATACATATTTGTTAACAGGGATTAAAACTATGTGTTGTGTGAGCGGTGTTTGCTAACTTACATGCCTAATATGTTATTAACTTTCAGAGGGCAATTCACTCTTCTGTGATATTACAATGTATTATATATTAGACATGTATGTCTAATAGTGCTGACTGGTATATTATGCATCGATGCTCCCAAAATGAAATTATCACTTGAAATTATATTTGAGATCTATAACCTCAAGTGTAAATTTGATATCATACTGCTTGATATAAGAAAATCATATAAACATTCACCATTTTTATTACAGAAGGACCAGATTATCAATTGGGGGCAACCCGCGTGTTTCTTCGCGAGGGTCTTCATAGGCAATTAGAGGCCGCCCGTTCGGAGCGCAGACACTTAGCAGCTGTGAGGCTTCAATCGCGAATGCGTGGCTTCCTCGCCCGCAGAAAATGGAAGTCGAAACGCGCTGCTGCAGTCCTCATTCAGAAGAATTGGCGCGGGCATAGGCAACGCAAAAACTACCAGGCTACCAAACGCGCAGCAATCAAAGCGCAGGTGAGAATAAATGAATATTCATTGAATTTAACAATTTAGTCGTATAATTTAATGAACGCCTTAATATTATACTAGAAAGCAACACCTAATATTCAGAGCCGTAAAATAAAAATATTTAAACTTTGTTAAAACCCAAGTGTTAAATGAAATAATATAAATAGTAACAACAAGCGTGGTAATTGAAATTAAATAAAAATAATTGTACTTTCAAAAACCCGGAATTAATGCAATACAAAATGTATCACCACTTTAAGAATAAAGACGACCACGATGTTGTATTCCAATAAATAAATCGTTGTCTGCCCAAAGCAGGTCCATGGTATAAGAGCACCACAGATCAATGATTTTCTTCCCTTCTTTCGCTTATTATTCCCATTACCATTTTATTACCGTTATTCTCTTTTTATACGCTTTAATGCATTTCCCTTTCCAAAATTCTGCTCTCATGTTTCCTGACCCTGTGCTTCGGCTTTAAGTTCCCTGTATTTTCTTCAGTCATACATAAGTAATCAATCATCTGCATTCTTTTTCGATCGTCGTGTGGGAGGCTCTCTTTCTAAATAATGGGTTCGATTCAATTTCCTTTCCTTATAATGATCGTTCCTTATAACGTCCACTCTTCGTAGTAGGTTATCTTATCTGTACATGTGATGTTCTCCATTCGCCTTCAGCCCCACATTTCAAATCTCTCCAGATATTACTTTCTTAGAGTCTCTGTTCAGTACAGAGCTATGGACTTTATTAGACTCATCTGCAATTCGAAACTCAGTTTGCTCATCAGTAGCATTCTGTTTTTCGTGAATGCTGCTTTGGCGCTTGTTGTACTTGCCCTGTTCTTTCTCGTGCAGTATCAGAATCTGCCCAAGATACTTCCCAAGCAGTGGCGTCGGAAGCAAATTTTTGATTGGTCCTCGTTTTTTTTTGATAGACAGGCAGTGGGTTCGTTTTTTTTTACATATTAGGCCATATATTTTTTGAGATTGATGGGTGAGCTCAAGTCCACTCAGCCCACATGGTTCCGACGCCATTGTTCCCAAGTATTTGAAGTAATCCACATGTTCTAATTCTCGATTTCCTACCATTAACCCCAGAAACTCTTCTTGTGCCTATATTCTCATCACTTTCGATTTGTCGATGTTGATTCCCCATTCGGCATCTTGATCAATGATATAAAAAATATATATCTCATAGAACTGTTTTTTTCATTTCGCTAGTTTTTTAGTGGCTAGCATAGTGATAAGATTTTTAAAAAGCGCAGTTGTAGGCATACAATCTCATAGGACAAACTCTTGGATCTGATAGCTGTTCAAAACATATCTTTTAATGTTTCAGCAAACACTTTGTTATGATTCATGATGTATTATTGAATATCGTTATATAAAATAAAAACCCAAAAAATATTCTTATAGTATCCTAGAATTACTTACAAATTGAATGTTCATAGTGTATTGACAATTGTACTTATTTTAGCATATAAAAGTGAAAACGATAGTCGTTTTATAAAATAGGCGTAAAATCGAATACATTATTTTCAATAAAAATTTCACACCCGATGCTGTTGATAAATGTCCATACGCGTTTTGTTATTTATTTGCTTAAGAAACATGTTAATGCCCGTTCGCGCATTTGCTGCACAATTCACATGCACTTTCTTGTGACCTCACCGCAAGTAAAAGAAATCCATCAGGTTTTGATATTCAAAGCGCGATCTGTCTATACACATGCTCGATCTACTTATTTATCTTTTTACCTTTTTGCATTCGCGTAATATTCGTAACACGTACGATGGACGGGTCGCTAGTAGTGATAAAAGCATGTCACTTAAATACTCTTCGGCGCTATGCGTGCACTTCTTATTTCTTATATCCGCATATCGACAGTACGATTTTGAATAGCGATTCGAGAACTCGATTTATTTTATTAAAAAAAAATTGATGATTTTAATTGATAATTTTGTGATGTGGTGCAACAAAGTCTGAGACATATTTTTAAATTCATATTTCTTGGCATTTGCAAATCATTATGTGAATATATTTAATTGAGAAGTTATTTTTATTATATTGCTCTGATGCAATGTACAATTTAAATTAACCGAAGGTGACAGAAATATTCAAATAAAAGTACATGAAGGACGAATCGATGCAATTGAATAATTATGATAGAACTTATGAGGTATTGTTACATAGTGTGTGTCCTAAAACTCAACGTAAAATCAAATCGAAACGAGGTTGTCAGTATTAATTGCAACTATTATGAAAAAAATTTAAAAAAAATTATATATATTGTGCGAGGATTATTTAAGATTGCGAGTAAAATGCAATGCCAGGAAATAGGCGTTATTTTTATGTTCTTATTTTTTACTCGTTTTTTTAGTATGAAATTAACAAGTATTGTACCTTAATTCAATGCGTTACCAAATTTGGCAATTACCAAAGCAGTTTAGTACGTTATTTTCAAAAGATGGCCTATCAAAATGGACCAATTTTGAAAAATTAAAATTCATAATTTAACAAGCAGTCTTAATTCTAGAAAGTGAATCTTAATAACCCAAAAATTATCACAGTTTTACCAAAGCTCAAGGTTGTACTTAAATCATCATGATTTTCGAACTGGTAGGAATATTTTTTTTCCTAATTTGTTTCACGATAGTTACAAACTTCGGCTTGATGCTGAGTTCTGAGACACCCTGTGTATATATATATATATATATATATATATATATATATATATTTCATAAGTAAAAGTTTGCATTATTTTTAATTTATTTTGCAAATTAAGAAATTGCTATTCCTAATTATCTATTATTCGTTCGTTATTGTTTTGAGCCTGAATCTATATTAAACAAATTTTAATTATTGGCATTATCCATTTCTATGTTGACTAGAGTTAACCCAAATTTAATATTAGAATATAGCTCTAAAATAAAATAATAAAATTTGCAAAAATTGAATTTTAATCCTATTTATTAATGCAGGCGCTTTACCGTGGCAAACTTCAACGCCGAAGATATTCAATGATCAAAACTCAGATGAAGCGCAGGGCTGAGGCAGAAAAAGCAGCAAGGTAAATTCAAGCAACAAAAATTTATTAAAAACTAAGATGCTTAATAAGTATGTTGAAATAAATATTATTTTATTCTACAGGGAAAGAATGGCACAGCGCATAGCACGTGAGCAAGCCGAAAGGTCTCCGGCCTTGCAACTAGATATTCCAGCAGAGCTAGCGTTCATTTTCAGTAAATTGGACGCTTGGCAACCGCCCCACACCGAAAGAAATTTGGTTAAGGTTTTAGGAAGTGTAGTAGGTCCACCGCCTGTACAAGCTCCTTCATTATCCGATTTAGGACAATACACATTTGGCAAATTTAGCTCGGCAAGTATTAAATATAGCGCTAATTGGCCATAGAATATATATAAACAAATTATATTTTCATTTGGACTGATTTTAGTTTCATTTCAAACTGTAATATATGAATATTCACAAAACAGTTATAATTCACAAAACACTAGCAAAAAAATCAAATTTCTGGGAAACAGTATATCCATTATTCGTTGATGATTTGGTGAAGTTATGATGTCACAACCTAATATTACCAATGGTTTGTTTATTGTTGACACTTTGATAAACTCACTTATATTCAGTAGTTTAAGAGTAGTATCATAAAAAGTTCTATCAGTTATTTGAAACGACCCATCAAGAAAAAACAAGACTTTGGCAAAAATAATGAGAGTCCTGCGGTTCTCATTAAATAAATTACCTCTACCTCTACATCCACATGATTTCAATTTTTTTTTTGACCAAAATTTGTTTCATTTTACTTCCGTAATATAGATGTATATTCTTTATATATGATATCAGAAAGAAATTTAGCTATCTCTCAAAGTAACGCGAAACTACATTGACACTTTTCTTCTTCTTAATATTAGCAGGCTTTCAGAGAGCTATTTTTCATTTGTCTTTTAAATTTACAGGTTTACTGTAATAGTATTGAAATGGGAGTGCGAAGAGAACCAATAGTAGTGCCATTTTTATCACGTGCAGCAGCTAGAGATCGTGATTTTCAAGATGCTTTAGCTGTTTTCAAATTACTATTAAGATGGACTTGTGATCCTTCACTAAATGGTGCTAAAGAAAAAGCACTAGCTGATTATGTAGTATATAAAGGACTGATGTCTAGGTATGTAATTCAGATGGGCAAATACTTCTATATTATTGGTTATGAATATACATAAATATATGAAACATTATTATGTATATTATTTAGTACTAAAATATTTGTTTAAAAGATAAATAAATGTTTAAAAGATATGTATAAATTGTAATAGTTAAATATAAAGGAGCCAATTCTCCTATAAAATAGAAATGTTATGGTAATGCTATATTACAGAAATATATTTGTATTAGTTTTAACAGTTTGTTGATACCAAATCAACAAACTATTGAAAGGACATAAAATTGCTGTGCGATCAGGCATTTTACGCATGAAACTAACATTGTGGGATGTCAAAGAGACATCAGAAAGTTGCACTTATGATAAATGTATTACTTGAGGTTAGTGCGTTTTGTAGGTTAGATTTTATGTGTAAAACGCCTGATCGCCCAGCAAATACAAAAGCGTTTTGATAGCTTGTTACTACCAACTAATACAAATAAAGACCTGTAACATAGCATTATTACCACAGCATTTCCATTTTAAGGAAGGATTAGCCCAAAAGAGATCCATTTAATTATATTTCTTTGTTATGAAATAATTTATGTAAAATAAACTACTATTTAATTTTCGCTACTGCAACTAATATGAAAGTTTTCTAGCAACTAAAAATAAATTGAATATATATCAAAGTTATTTTCAGCTAGTTTTGTGTTCAATACAAGTTATATGATTTTTTTAAATTTTTGTTTCAATATGTATATGTTATAAAAAAGTAATTTTAAAAATAATATACAAAATTATAATTTTTAAACAAAGGCACAACTTAGACATATACAAAAATGTTTGCTTATCAAAGTAAGTCACAACTAATTACTATTTTTTTATTTCAGAGGTCTGCGCGATGAAATATTAGTTCAACTCTGTAACCAAACTTGGCACAATGATAATTCAGAAAGAGTGTGGCAACTTATGTCCCACTGTTTATCATCATTCCATCCAGGATTAACATTAAATAAGTAAGAATCTTTATGATTTCAATAGTATCCGAAAAGAGAAAACTGTAAATTATTCTTGATGTTTGCATTTGTAAAGTAAAGCATAACGAATAAAAACTTTACTATTATCATGTAAGCTAATTAAAATATTTAAAACACTTACATGATTTCAAAACATTTTCTCCCTATTAACACATTCCGTATAAAAATTCGTCTGTGTGCGATATGAACTCTTTATTATACCGAAAATCCTTCGCAATATTTAATCTAATTTTTAGATATGTACAGACTTAGAATGTACTTATAAAAGTGATAAATTAATAAATTCAATTTAAAATCAATATTGAATAAAATTAATTCAACATTGTGAATATATCACAATGCATTTAAAATGCAAATTTCAGTAAAATAAACTTAAAAGTATGACCAAAATATACCAAGAAATAGTAGCAACATATTTTTATTAGAATGCATATCAATGTCTTTAAATAACGTATATTAAAATAATCGAGATATTTTTAATCATTGCTGTTCTAAATTCAAATAGGGTAGGACGGGGCACAAAGGTCCAATTCGTCTTTGAGCAAATATATTGAGAAAACCAATTTTAAAGGGATTTTACGAAATAGCTACATTAACCAACCAATGGAAAATATAAATTTAATAGCTACATTTTTCACAGAGATAACACTATTTATAACTTTGATCTAGAATTTCGTCAGAAATATTTACTAGCAGAGTTGGAATTACTATTTATTCAATGTATCTCTTGTAAAATTGCTTTTTTTAACTTAATTTACCTTAATTTAACTTAAAAGGTTCAGTTAGTACTGCTTTTCCCCACACACGTGGAAACTTTTATAGGGATTACATAAAAAAACTGTTGGATCTAACAAAACATTATCAATAAACCTTATAAAACAATTAAATATACGTATACTTTAAAATTATATTAAGGTCTCGTAAATTAAACAACAGTGCTCACAATAGAAAAAACTAACAACAAAAATACTTCTGTTATGGATTTTTAAATATTGCCGTTTATCTCCCTATAGTACCGACGTAAAAATCAAGGCGATGGCTGGTTCGTTACATCGTTTTGCTCCAACTTTCAAATGTTGTTGTTATATAAAACAATTAAATATACGTATACTATAAAATTATATTAAGGTCTCGTAAATTAAACAACAGTGCTCACAATAGCAAAAACTAACAACAAAAATACTTCTGTTATGAATTTTTAAATATTGCCGTTTATCTCCCTACAGTACCGACGTAAAAATCAAGGCGATGGCTGGTTCGTTACATCGTTTTGCTCCAACTTTCAAATGCTGTTGTTATATAAAACAATTAAATATACGTATACTATAAAATTATATTAAGGTCTCGTAAATTAAACAACAGTGCTCACAATAGCAAAAACTAACAACAAAAATACTTCTGTTATGGATTTTTAAATATTTCCGTTTATCTCCCTATAGTACCGACGTAAAAATCAAGGCGATGGCTGGTTCGTTACATCCTTTTGCTCCAACTTTCAAATGTTGTTGTTCAAAAATTCTTAACTTCACGTTTTTTTTTTTGTCAATCAAAACTTTATTCAAGTTAACTTCACATGGTTAGAGATATCGGCGGTGATCCAAATCCATGTCACATCTCATTAAAAATGTCTAAGCGTATCAACAAATTGATAAAAAATGTATTACCTAATACACTGGGGCCTCGCTTTACGGCCTAGATACGTTCCGAGAGACTTGGCCGTAAAGCGAAAAGCCGTATAACGAATCAATTATTCTAATACGTATTCATACAAATTCAATGTGATCGGTTCCAAATTTAATAAATATATAATATGGGTCATCATTCAAAATGCATTTTATTTTTTCATTTTGTTTAAATTATAAACATATTTAACAAGAACATAAATTTTACATAAAATAAAAAACTTCAAAGACATTACATAATTTTCAAATAAAAATGAAACAACTAAAACCTACAGATCACTGTCACCATCATTTTGCGCTGGTGGTTTGAAAAATTTGTCTAAAGTTGTTTGCCTTCTTGTCTATTTCTTTCTTTAATGATTTATTCCCTTGTTCAAAATATGAAAAAGCACTCGACATGATTTTTGATGTTAGCTGTTTGGATACAACAGGTTCTGTATCTTCATCAATTGCCGGCTCTGCATGCAACTGAATGAGTTCCTCATATGAAAGGGGTTCCCTATCAGCTGCAAGTAGATCCAGCACATCAGATTCGTTTAAAACTTCAAAACCGAGATTGCGCAATATATCGACATAGAGAAAAAAGCCGTTATAGCGAAACATTTTAGGCCGTATATCGAAAACGTTCCTTAATTAAAGATGGCCGTTATAGCGAAAGGCCGTATAAAGAGCGGCCGTATAGCGAGGCCTGGGTGTAGTTTGCCTATAGTTGTATTAAATACTTACAAATACGCACAAATGCTCATAAACAATTAAATTCTGTCATGGTCAACGATGTATTCGAGACAAAAGTCGAAATAAACTAAAAATAACAAAATTCCTTTAAGGTACCTGCTGAAATACGTGTCCGACCACGCGCCAGCCGGTAGTCGAGAGCTGCTCCTGCGCAAACTGTTGCGTCCTTCAGCCGGACCGCCGGTGCCACCAGCCAGGCTACTTCCACCCAGCCAGCTGGAATGGTTTGCCACGCAGAGGAAATGCGACACTGCGCTCACAGTAACACTACCAGATGGAAGTGCCACGACCGTGGCTGTTGATTCGTGGACAACCTGCGAAGAGGTAAAAAGTCGTTATACAGTATTATAAAAGGTGAATGCTATAAAAGTTAATAATCCAGCATCTGTAGTAATAAAGTAATATATAATGTCTATTACATTAGCAATTCCATTGTACAAGCCCTGTTCAATTTTCAAATTTTATGAAGTTGTTCTCTCCGAAACAAGTTAGTTCAACTTGCTAAAGAAATGACTTGGTACATCTATGTGAATTAGGATATTAATGTATACTGTTATATTACAATATTTAAAAATGCAGTATAATTTGCGTTCTATAAAACTGCTGAAATGAATTATCACATTCTGTCTTTTTCTTGATGTAGGTAAAATTTACAAATTAATTTTTAACATCCCGTAGGGTAAGTTATTGTAATGGGCCGAAAATCGGAATTGAAAATTTTTACATTTCTCGACGTTTTGAAGGTTTCTGAACGTTTTGGCATACCTCAGAAAAAATGGATGTGTGTGTGTGTGTGTGTATGTATATGTGAATACAAATTTCCAGTCACGTTTTAGGGCGCACGGATCAACCGATTTGAATGGTTCAAAAAACATCCGATTCCTATTGATAGGGAAAAGAGCTGATTAGTTTTTGGCAAAGGCAGGTCCAGCCGTTTCGGAGATACGGAGCAAAGAGTGCAGAAAATAGAAATTGTATTTTTGAGAGAACGGAGTATCCGATTTGAATGATCTAAAAAACATTCAATTAGTAATGATTGGGAGAAGTGTTTATTAGTTTTTGGCAAAGGCAGGCCCAGCCATTTTGAAGATACGGAGCTAAATATGTAAAAAATGGCAGTTTTTGAGAGAACTAAGCGTCCGATTCAAATGATTCAAAGAACATTCTGCTTGTCTTAACAAAATAATCGATTTTGGAAAAAAAAATTTTGTACCATTTTTTTTTTTTTTTAGTTTTTTTTTAGTTTTTTGTATATCGAAAATATTTATTTTTAATTCTGACTATAGTTCTAATATACTTTACAAATAATTTCAACTCTGCAATTCTGTTTATATAATATTTATAAATATTTTGCCTTAAGCAATTTGCCTTAAGGCACGATGCCACCCACCCCACTAGTTTCATTTCTGATACTAAAATGTCAATATAAATAAGTACCTATCCAATTCATTTTGTTTTCTTCATTTCAAATCCTATTTTAGTTTCTAACTGTATTTAAAAACACACGTTTATTAGGAAATTAATCTAAGTCTTTATAAATGCACATTTTGTAAATATACTGTATTATATATTTGAGACTTTGTCCTCAAAACATCTCTCCTGCTCAAACTCTCTCAATAAGGAGAGGTTGAAGGTGGCTCGTTCTTTTGTCATTTGGCTAAAGAAAATATCTGCGCGAAAATAAAGGACATGCAACTAACAGAAGACAATATTTTTTCACATGCTTGGGATGGAATTTTTAGAAAGCCCCTCAAAATTAAATATATATTTATATACATTATATATGTGTAGTACAGCTCTAGGGCAGGTCCAACTGGAGTTGAGAGTTAAACTCAACTCACGAACCTAGCCTAGGGGAATACCACCCATTATTATATATATATATATATATATATATATATATATATATATATATTTTGTATGATTCTGAATTTGATGTTGACATATGTATTAACAAAGTCTAATAATCGGGCATAACATCAATAAAAAACATGAATTTCTTTCAAAAATTTATTATAAATCCATACGTTTCGGCTATAATCCTAGCCTTCATTCAGTGGAAAAATTAGTTGATCTTAGTGTTAAATTGGAAAATTTTAATAATCCATGGTATTAGGATATGGTAATGCTCTACACTATGTATTATAAACATTAACTTGAAATTACAACAATATTTTCACAAAATACTGATTTGAAAAAATCACAAATAGATAGTGTGTTATTCGTAGACTGGTTAAAGATGTAAACTTACTATATATATATATATATATATATATATATATATATATATATATATATTTGTATTTCTTAATTAAATTTCTTTAGCCACACGATATAATAACATTTTAAGCTTATGCATATTTTAGGAGCCCTACTAAAAACATGTTAAAAATAAATGCCAATACTTTAATTGTAACTCTTAAGTAAATTAACAGTTACATTTGAAGATAATAATATTAATATTATAAATTTCAATTAATAAAACATCGGAATTTATTTAGTTAGTTTTATACTCATCACTAAGAAAAAAACTATTTCACATTGAAATCATATATGAATTTATTGCACGATTTTAAAATGCAATAGCAATTAACTTTCTTTTACTCCCTACCATGGAGCAAATGCTATATCGTTTTAATGAGCCGCAATATGTTATGATCAATTTGCTTACTTGAAGAAAATATAGTTTTGAAGTGAAAACTGTGTTTAGCAAGTATTAATTCTTGAAATAATTTTTGCGTCCGCCTTTTACGCACGAAACCTATTACAAGATTTGCCATAGCGGTTTTATAGGTATTCCATTTACTTATAGTTTTCTTATAGTTTATTTATAGTTTTCTAATATTTTCTCAAGAAATTAATTATATATATTTTCGAATGATTGAATATTATTATAAAAAATTAGTGAATTAATTGTTGAATATTAAAAAAAAAATGTTATAAAAATCAGTGTTTGCAGCTTAATATGTACATAGAATAAAGATATTAAAAGCGTTCGTTTTATAAGCGTTGTATCAATGTGAGTATATATATATATATATATATATATATATATATATATAAGTGTGGTTCAGTATAAAAGCAATGTATTAATGTATAGACTATCGATGTAGTAATGAAATTTGTTTTAATAGGCTGCAGCATTAGCAGTATCGCCCTTGGGTATAGCACCGAGAGGTTGGACGATCGCTTTAGATGATGCCGGATTAGTGACGGATTGTTGTGGTCTGGACTACGTATTAGATCCTATAGCCGAAAGAGAAATGTGCCCGGCGTTCCCGTCACAACGTGGCGAAGCACTGCGGTGTGGAGCTCGAGACGAAAGAAGTGCTGCACTAATGCAAAACTCAGAACCGCAAAGTCCACGGAGACCACAGGCAAGTAAAAATTGAATTGGCCGAATTTTAATATTAACTAATAATATATTACTATGCGAAGTCAGTATACTAATTCAAGCATCGCGATAATTTATTATTTACTAAAGTTTATCGAACATGTAGCTAACCTATTTAATCCATTATTAGGTTCCTCCCCCGGAGCCACCGCCAGTAAAGACAAGAACAAAAGAAACAATTCCACAACCTGTGACGCCATCACAAAATAGAGCACCAGTTGAACCGCCTCCTAGAACTGGCTACAATATTCAACAAGAATCTCCATCAAATCAGCAATTATTAGCTGCCTCACGCAAAACATCTCACGAAATGCTTTCTCGCAGTTCTGCATTAAATGAACGGTATTTCGAAATTGAAAAATCTCGGTCCAGATCATTGGATGATCTACTGGCTGGTGGCGAAGTAGTAACACCTAAACCTGAGCCCCCTTTGGCAGGATTAGGTTTATCACAAAGTCGTCTAAATGAACGATACCATTCTGCAGAGCGTTTAGAACAAGCTCCAAAACCAGGAGATGGCCCCCGATATGTTAAATCACAATATACTGGTAAACGTGCTATTCCTGGATCACATTCTAGTAAAGCGTACATTGAACGTTCAGAATTAGGTACTCATCCAGGAAGTGGGGCTGCCAGATCATCCGCAATGTCGGACACGAGTGAAGCACCATCGTTAGCTAGCCACGTCCGAAGAGTACGTGTACCCAGTCAAGCCTCAGACGTAGATCAATTTTTGGACGAACTGTTTAGTCCTGTACTAGATGGATCATTAGATGAACTATCAGATGCTAGATCACTAGCCGCTAGCATTCGTGGTGGTGGCGACGGTGAATTTTCAGAAGCACCGATAGGAATTAGCAATACATTGTCCGATCTTGGTGATGCTAAATCTCTTATAATGAGATTAAAAGGTGGCGGCCAACGAACCGGACCACCTAGTTCTGCTTCATCAACACTTGATCAAGAAGTAGCTGCTCTCACAGCTCCAACTGATAACGCTCTAGATGAATACATAACCGATCTATTCCAGCCCATTTTTGTGAATGATAGTATACGTAGGTTGACAGAAAAAACTGAGCTCGTAAATGCTATTAAAGGAGGAGGTACTGCTCATTCAACTGGTGCTAGTTCATCTAATTTTGTATTGAGTCCACCTCCAATGATGATGATGGGAGGAGCGGAACCGTTTATGCCTTTATATAATATGCAAAATATGTCGGTACCACAAAATGGAGATTTAGCTGCGTACCAGCAACAAATGCAACGCGCGTTTTTGCAAAGTGCAATGGCACAAAACATACAAATACAGCAACAACTTCTTGCGCAAAATCAAGCATTACAAACTCTGCTGAGTCAACAAGACCCATCTGTCACCCCAGTTGAAAATTCAAGATCATCGCATCAATCTCCTAAGAGACCCAGTTTTAAGAAACGTAACAGCCCGGCTGCATTCACGTCTGTTATGTCAGAATTGAGGTCAAGAAGAACATCTTCAGAAAGTGGATCCTCTTTGATGCCACCACCTCCACCTCCACCAATGCCTCCGCCATTAGAATCACAAGATCCGTCAGAAGCAAGACCATTCCTAGATCCATATGGTAGAGCAAAAACAGTTCGCATAGGTAAATGGCGATGGCCCCCGCCTCAAGGTGGAGCTCCTGCAGAAAACGGAGGTGAAGATTTTATTCAATTTAAAATGCGTCAGCAACAACGCAAAACTACGCCACAAAGTCAGCAATCTGGAAATGCTGATTGGGAGGATGAAATTGATTCAAAATCAGTTTCTCCAGCAGCCCAAGAAATACAGTCATCAGCGGCAGTTAGAAGTAGCACAAGACGTAGTTTTGAAATAGGTGCTCAAAGGCCTCCCCCAGGAAGTGTTGGTAAATTGAAACTAAGTTCAGAAATGCGACAAAGATTGGAGCAAGTAACGGCAGGCCATTCTATACGTTCAGCGGCAAGCACTCGCTCGGAACGACCAGCTCGAGCACCGGCTAAATTGGAGGATGCCAGAAGGATGATGCTTGAGCAGCAATTAGGTGGCACATTAAATGGCAATGGTCATATGCATGCAGAGCCGGATACTTTACCAAGTGTTCGCACGCAAGTCCAGCGTATGGAGCATTCTTTGCCACCTGCTCCACCAGGACCGGCTCCGCCTGCACCTGCCAGACCTCCAAGCAGTGTACCTCCTGTGCCACCACCTCCTGCTCCGATTGAACCTCAGTCATATATGCAAAAGCGACAAGAGCGTGATACATTCGGCGTTCACCAAAATCGTGAGTATAATTATAACTGGGAGGTAGCGGAAAATGAAAGAAATGGATGGAATGGTCAACAGAATGGCTTCCGAGAATATGAAAAACAAGATCGTAATAATCATAGAGATTACGATAATGGACATAGAGATTTTGAATCTTATACAATATCTGATCAACATGATGGTTCGTCTAATGATTTAGCGCCTGTGGAAGTACGGAAAACGCCGCCACACAAAAGACTGGTGCCACAGCCAAAACCAACAGAACGCGCTACATATAGAACTCACATGGTTCAAAAAGCCGCTCAAGAGAGAGATCGCAGAAGCAGTACATCCACACACTTTACAGAAAAACAAGATGGTGCTGAAGGTTTGTTTACCAAATCAATATAAAAAGACGCAAATTATTGCAATAATTATATTTTATAAATTATTAATTGTAGGCGAAGAATGGCCATCATTCTTAGCACCTGTTTTGCCCGCTCCTTCGTCTGCGCCATCAATAGCAAACCCTGATCACGTGCCAAACTCAAATTCCACACAATCACCTCAGCAACCGGCTCCTTCATCCGCTTGCATCACCTATCACAGAGTGCCATGGCGTTTAAGAGTGCGCAAAGAAGTTTTTAGTCCCGGAGAAAGGTGAAAAAAAATAAATTGTGATCACAATTAGTTCGAAATAACATTTCATATACATTATCTTATATTTATTTTATATAAAAATTTCAGTCTCGGAACTCCAGCAGCATTAGATTTACTTTTCCAGCAAGTCGCAATGGATGTTTTAGGCACAGTAGCAAGTCTTCGTATAGCTCCAAATGAAAGACGTGCAGCAGCTACTTTCCTAGCAGGACACCGCATTACTGCCGATGCACTAAATGCTTCGCAACATCGTGCCGTAGTCAAAAAACATTTAGTGGAAATGGCGAGAGGGTGGCCCTTATATTTCGCGAGGTTATTCCACGTCAGCGGAACGCCACAGGCAAGTATTAATACGAAACCATTTACATTTAAAAATCACATAGACCTAGTAAAATCGAAAGTTAGTTCCATGATAATGAATGGATTTTTTAATTTTAGCTTCCGGATGTAAATCTCCTTGCTGTTTCTCACTCCGGTGTCTATCTTGTCCGACGCGAACACGCTGGTTCGCAACAACAATTAACTGTTATTCGAGCTGTACCATTCAGCGAACTTTCAGCAGCTACTGCTCCCGCACATCCTCCTGCTACATTGCAATTAGCTCTTCGAGGTGGCGCTAGGGTAACTATGCATGCACTGAGAGCCTCACCTGCGCAGCAGATGATAGCAGCTTTTTGCGCTGAGTATCGCAAGGTTAGTGGAATTATCAGTTTTATTTATAACCTCAGGAACAATGCAAAATAAAATTAATCGCGATATATCTATTATGACGTTAAGGGTTAAAAGGTATTTCAACACTTTGTTGATCGGTCGTGAGTTAACAAGTGCTTGTAGGGCCGGACTTTGTATATATTTGTAAAAGGTAAAAGCTGTTGTGTACCCTATGTGTGTAGTATTACATGTAGATTATTATTATACTGCTTATCATACAAAAAAGAAATATTAAAAGTTGAATAATAAAAAAATATATATTAAAGCTTATTTTTATTGTCTTACTTCCACGTCCAATTACAAAATACAGAACATTAGATAATTTTCCGCTGATGACATTAGATAAGTTTTCAGTAAAATTGATGGTCAACAAAGTGTTAATACATGTTATAACTACATGCTCGATATTTTTTTCTAAAATAATGTAGTTGGGCTACCATCAGCGAATGAACTGCGCGTGGACTGTATACAAAATATATACACTATACACTTGAGATAACCGTCCTAATAATTAGATTGTAAATGGAAAAAATTTCCTTCGGTTTAAAACTATGCATTTAATAGCACAGATAAATAAAATTTGTATACTACTACAGAAGCACAAAGTTTTTAAGCATACGATAAACGGCCGAATCCGACATCGTACATAAATTATTTAATAGGATTAAGATTGTGCAAACTACATTACTCTAATTGCTATATTGATATTGCAGTAATAAAATCAGTGAAATCATTTTATATCTAAGTCAGAATCAGAAGTATATCAGAAGTCCTTGCAGTTAAATTATATCATATTATATACATACGTTAATAAGTTTCGGTAGAGCTGTTTATTATATGTTGCGCAAAAAATTAAATGCTCGTGACAAACTATTTGCTTCATTATATTGGAGGCAAAAAAGTGCCAAAAACGGTAATTTGGTTTTTGAGAGAACGGAGCGTCCGATTTGAACTAACATTTTACTTGTATTGATAAAGTGTACTGATCAATTTTTGGGAAGGCAGGTCTAGCGGTTTCGGAGATTCCAAAGAAGAAGTTAAAAAAGTGCCATTTGGCGGTCAAAGTAATCATTAGATATATTCACATCAAATTATCAGATATTTAATAGTAACTACAAATTTCGTTTACAATTCTATGGGTTTCGTACCAATGTTTAATTGTAGATTGCAACGCGGCGCTTACGCGCTTTGATATTCCGTTCTAAAACATATGTAGCGCAATTGCATTGACAAAACGGTGCCATTCACCACTAGTAGTATATTTATCTCTATAGTATATTTATCTCTTATTTATTAGTACTAGTAGTATATTTATCTCTATATACTATAGTTCGTATATCTTAGTCACTTCTTACAACTGCGTACCAGCATGGACTTTATATGTATTTCCCTGAATTATCAAAATTTTCCAAATTAATCAGCCAACAGTAAATATGATTTCAAATAAATTTAAAAAATACTGGTTAATGTTTGAAACTTTCTCCACCAAATTTATCAGACTATAAATTATTTTAAGCAGTCCGAGAGAAGTAGCTTGACCTGGAATCATCTGAACCAATTCTGATCGACTTAACAAATTAGACATATTATCGCAGTATATAAATATCACTAATTAAATTTTATTGAAGTACCACTCCAATTGACTACATTCGAATTATATATTAATACTTTTAGCACTGTTTATATTTTTTAAATAATGAATAAATTAAATAAAAAAATGTATTATATAATTTTTATACATTAATTTAATTTAAAATTAATTCTTTATTTATAAATGTAAATATGTTCTACGTTTTCGGGATATGGGATGGGTTGAAAACCAAAATGTTTTTAATGTAACATTCACTAAAAATGCAACTGTACATTACACTGAAAATTATTATTAAAAAAAACTTGATTTCTACATGTTTACTTATGCATACGATATTTTTTTTTATTTCAATATTTATTACAACTGTTAAATAATTAACATCTATATGCATACGAATATACAGGCAATACAGAGTGTCCCAAACCTTGACGTCATGCGGAAACGGGGTAATAATATTGACCTTAACTGTCCTAAAAAAATAGAAAAAAACGTTGTTTTGCAATTATGAGCTTTAAAGTGCAATTAGAACTTTGGTGAAATAAAGGCTATGTTTCGATTATTGTGGCACTTACAATTAGTTCGAATGCTTGGCGTACGATCAATCTTCAACGTGCAAGAGAGAAATATCTGACGAAATATCTGACGAAATATCTAGTGAGAGAACTAAATGGAGTAAAATGTACTAGCAAAAACCATGCCATTTTTTTACTCGAAAATTTTTAATAATAAAATTATCAAGTATTTTACAATTTTTCAATCCCTATTAAATGCGCCAACATTTTATGAAACTTGCCTTCACACTTGTGATCCATTTAAAAAAAAAAATTATAGTTCAAGAAAAAGTAATTATTCTTGAAAGCTAGGGGCAATTGTGGTATTTTTTTACTGTGGTCTTAGAAATATGTTATTCACGTTTACGGTTCCAATTTTTAAATGAATAAAATTAATAAAAGTTAGTCACAATTACCAAAAAATGGTCACCAAAGCTCTAAGCTGTACTTGAAAGCTCATAACTTCCAAACAACGTGATATTTTTTTTCTAATTTTATGCATGCTTCTTTTTCTTGATCTTTACCGTTCTTAACATAATTTGATGTAATTTTTGCAAGAATTTATAATCAGCCTCGCACTAGTAAAACACAAGCAAACATCTCATTAAAATTAAAAGGAACTCAAGTGATAACCAAATATTTTTAAAAACATACATTTTTATACCAGCCAAGAAGCGTCCCAATATGATCGTTTCGCAATAACAAACTCAATTAAAACAAAACAATATAAGATTCTAAGTATTTATTGCGAAGCGGTACAACAGCATTTTTTTATTAAAATCGCCCATTTGCATCATAAACAATTCAACGCGTACCGTACTTAATAGCCGTGGATTCAAATAATGAATTCATTGTTTTCTAAAAAATACTCGTTTCGACTTGAAGTCAATTTCGTACTCTCTTCTTGTGCGTTTTGCTTTTATGAACATCAGTGCCTTATGCATATGTATCGTATGCGTCGCTCGATGAAAACGCGCATTATCACGGTCAATCTTATTTTTTATTCGTTATTTCGATTTTTAAAGTATGTATTTTATTCAAGAGAAAGTACAGAACATACACGCGTTTAACTGATAATGGGAAATATTCTTCAAGTATCGTATCGATGAGGATGCCGAATCAGATCGATGCATCTTGATCCACATATGAAAGGTACATGAAAGAGATAAATGATAAAATTGATTTTATTATGAACTATTTCTTTGGCTTGAAGAATTTCGCAAGCAATTTTGAAACATATTGCTTACTTTTATTTTAAACTTCCCGTAGGGTAAGTTATAGTAATCGCAATAAAATCGAAAATGAAAAGTGTTATATATCTTTACGTTTCAGAGGTTTCTGAACATTTAGGCATATCTTAGAAAAAATTGATGTATGTAAATGTGTATGTGTGTGTGTGGATAAAAATTTTCGTCGGCGATTTCGGAAACACGGATCAACCGATTTGAATAATTCAGATTTTTATTAATGGGGAGACATTTATTAATGCTGATAAGTTTTTGGCAATGGCATATTGAACCGTTTGCAAGATACGGGAAAGAAAATCCAAAAATAGTAATTCAGTTTTTGAGAGAACGGAGCGTGAAAAAAAATTTAATTTGTGAAAAAAAGGATTAAATTTTTGGGAAAGCAGGTCCAGCGGTTTCAGAGATCCAATAAAAAAGTGACATTTGGCGGTCAAAAATAATCATTAGGCATATGCACATCATATAATCACATATTTTATAGAGATTTTAATAATAAGTTCAATTTTTGTTTACATATTTATGGTTTCCATACTAATGTTTATCCATTGGTAAACTTATTTAAACGCGCTTCGATATTTCGTCTCTAAAGCAGGTACACAGCGCGATTGCTTTAAAAAAATTCAAAGTATTCAAAAAAAATTCAAAATAAAAAAAATAACTGAAAAACGTCCATTTTTTTCAAAAATCTATTTTTTTTTTTGAAAGTTTCCAAAAAATTTTAAAGTTTCTTTAAAAAATTTAGTTTTTAGTACAGGATGTTTCAACAATTTGCCTTAAGGCGATGTAATGTACCACTAGCTTTATTATTTAAATTAAGCTGATCAATTTTTTATCTAATAATTCTCCTTTGTGTCATGATATATGTATACTGAAGCTCTTAACTCATAACAAACTACTCACTTTTGTTTCTATCGTTATGCACGATCGCATAAAATAGCCGCACTAGAAATTATTTGTTACGATGATCAAGAATCTGTTTGATTACCTACATTGCAAAATGTGCACATTACGAAATTGAGATTTCACCTGTCGTTTCTGATATTTTTGACGTTTATTCAAATTTCTTGAATTAATCATAGCTAATTATATAAAAGTTGCAAGATCAATTAACACAGATTTCAATCGGTATAATATGCTATGATATAATATACCGGACAATAAAAACTAATCAACGTTTTTTAATGAGATGGATGTCACATTTTTGGAAAGTTATTGATGCATTAGTATGGTGTTATCTAATAATTAATATACTATTCATTGTCTTATTCATTGTTTGCATATAAATATTCAACGACTTTAATCATTTTAACATAAAATGTTTTATAAATAAATTATGATTGAAGTAACACTCTCAAATATTATTTATTTTTAGCATTCTCTGTAATTTGTCCGGAAAGTTGTCATGTACGAAAGAAATGATTTTGTATCCTTTGTATGACATTTAACCACTTACATCATTTTTCATTATTATACTATATACTAACTTTGTTATTCCAACATATAAATTTTTATATAAAGAAAGGTTTTAAAACAAATTTTACGAAAACATGTATAATATTCTATTCGAATACTATTTTATGTTAAATCCATTAA